TTTAATGGTTTTTAACAATTTCAATTCTTCATTTGTAAATTCCTTAAATTGCTGTTCAACAAATAAATTTACATTTTCAATGGCCAATAAAGCATCTTGACTTGAAACAAGAGGAATTTCTTCAATACTATCATCTTCTTCTTCATCTTTTTCTTCATTAAGCTTTAGCATAGAAATTATTTCTTCATCATTTGGCAAACCCTCATAATTGTCATTGTCATTTCTTTCTACTTCATCAATGGAAAGATATTCTGTCCCAGATAAAGGATTTGCAAAATCAAGTTCATTAATTAAACTTTGTAAATCATTTTCATCTTTATTTTTTGAAGAATCTAGGAATGATGTAGCATTTTGAATTTCAATAGAATTTTCATCCACATCAGGTAAAATTGCAGTCTTTTTCCAGCAATTAATTATTGTTTGACTGGTAACATTTTCCCATGCCTTTGTAGTATATTTAATTGCATGCTTTATTGTAATTGGATCAGGTTCTCCGCCTCTTTTTTGTATTTCATAATTTTTTAGTTTTTTTCTCAAAAAAAGTTTTTTATAATTTGCCTGTAAAATATGATATTGAAATTATGTTAAGAATTTTTTTAAAAAAGAAAATTAATATTAATATTAATAATTTATTTACCTTGAAGCTATTGATTATACCAGCATCGCATGGTTGTAAAAATGCAGTAGTATTTGGAGGCAAAAAATGAATTTTAACATTTGTTAAATTTGTTGTCTCATTAACAGAATGTGTGGGAGCATTGTCTAATAATAACAAAATATTTCTATTTTGTTGTTGCATATATCTGTTTAAATTGACTAAATAATCATTAAAAATGGAGACTTGCATCCATGCTTTGAGATTCCAGTAATAGTTTACTGACAATGCTTCTTTGTCAATATTTTTTAAAGCTTTAGGCGTTTTATATTTGTGTATAAATAATGGCTTCAATTTTTCTGTTCCACTAGCATTACATGTTAATAATACTGTAACTCTTTCCTTTGACTTCTTTCTTCCAGATACAGGTCCTGTTGATAATACTTTTGATGGTTCCAGTTTCCAAAATAACCCAGTCTCATCTGCATTAAAAATATCTGATAATTGATATTGATTTGTAATAGAATTCTTTAATTCTTCTCTATAAATAGGTAATTCCGAAATAGGAGTACTGGCAGCTTCACCTTGTTTTGTATACTGTTTGATATTATGTCTTTGCTTGAATTTTGTTAACCATCCTTCTGATGCTTTGAAGTCATTAATATCAAGAAGTTGGGCAAAGTGTATTGCTTTTTCTTTCAATATATCACCAGTAATGTCTAACTCTGCACCAATAGCTTTCTCTGTCCAAATAGTTAATGCTTGATCAACTTCTTCATATATCAAGATTCTCCTTTTTTTCTTGGTAGCATCAGAGGATTCTGGGTTAATGGAAAGCCACTTATCTTTTTCATTTAAAATATCACTAATTGTACTTGTACTAATATCAAAAGCTGTTGCTAATTCTTTATTTGTTGGGATTGGAGTTTTTTGTTTTGCCAAACAAATATCTCTTTTTATCAAAGCTGTTAAAGATTTTCTCTTATTTAATGACATTTTAAATAAATAATAAAACAGAATAGATAATAAATGAATCAATTTGATATTAATTAGGTTTTATTAATGAAAATTTAAAAATTGAATTAATGCAAAAATCAGGATCGATTTATATAAAAAAAAGGTAAAATCTAAATACATAATTCAACACCACAATGACATGTTACATGACGTCTGATTTATAATTTATTTACACGTAAAATAATATTGACATTATTTTAGCTGGCAATAATTAATTAACAATTAAGAGATTATTTGAAATTTGTATAGTGATCTAATAATGACTATATATGATTTAAGATCTGCATTTTAGTTTTGAAATCACGTGAAACCGGTATAGAGAGAGGGATTTATATAGAGGTGCTGTCCGTTATACATTATATAAAATTTAACTAATAAAATCCGTTATAGAAAGAGGTTTTAAATAGTAAAAAATTGGGCCAGAATTTTTTGTCCGTTATAGAGAAAAATCCATTAAAATATTTATATAAAAGAAAATTTAATAAATGATTATAGGAATATCATTATATTCTTGTTCTGAATAATCACCTCTGATTTCAGATAATAAACAACTGTAAGTTTCGTTAACTTTATAATCATAAAAATGATCATCTAAAGAAAGTGAAATGCGGGTCAAATCTAATACAGTGATTCGCTAAATGAGCAGCAAGTTTTGACATTTCTCCACGTTAAAACATTTTGAGATAGTACAAACGTTTATATATATATATAGCATAAATGACCTTTAGAATTTCTATGTAATGGGCTATTTGGTAAAATGTAGGTGCTTCCCATTTGAAAGGAGGACAAATTATCTCTGACACTTGAGTTATCGTTTATAAATTGAATCTGACTGTGCCATTTTCAAAATTTTCTCATTTTGTCATATTTTTTGTCTTTTCGTCGTATTTCGTTTTGACAAAATAATTTCCATTCACAAAAAACATTTCATCAGGTAATTTTGAGTTAATACCATTGCTATATATAACTCCTCACATAGAACATCTTTGGCTTGAAATATTCTTCTTTAAAGTTTCAAAAATGATAGTAAACCTCTTAAAATGCCACTTTTTTAGATATCAACAAGGACTCGCAAACAAGCATAAAAGGCATAAAAGAATATTAAAGTAACCTAATAAAAATAATTATTTGTTTGAAATGTGCTAATTTTTAGACCTTTATCAATTTAGATGATATTTTTGCTAAATACTAATATAATAATTATACTATGACTATCAAAGTAAAATTTTTAATGAGTTGTTGCCATTTCAATACAATACATATAGTGAACCACTGACATATCCAAGTGCCAACTTTAATAGCATCAGATATATAGTTTTTAATTAAAATATCTCCAACCAATAGTTGGACAAATTTTAGATCCTAAAAGTTCCTTTAGATTAATCATACCTGTCACACCAGTCACTCCTACACCAGACCCACCAACATTTGATATATATGTTAAGAAGAAATAACTATTAACACAAAAAGTGATTTAATTTTGCATTTTATTTTCTTAAAAACATGTATTATTAAGGTATTACATTATTTTTTTAACCACTATATAAATAAATGATAATATTATGCCTCCTGCTGTTTCTGCAATAGTTCAGAGCAACAACCAACAATGTTAATAGATATTCAGGTAACCAAATAAGTGCCAATACAATTTCCAAAACACAATTTTACATTACAAATATAAAAATTAAAATTTTTTTCAAAATAAAAGTTTGGTGGTTGCTACAACATCCATAAATCTGATTTACAGACAGAATCATTAATAGGGATGGGTGGTTCGGTCTGGTTCCATGGAACCGGTTACAATAGAACCGAACCGAACCGAACCGAACCGTTCGAACCGGTTCCAAAATAGATGTAGCACAAAATATTATTGTCAAAACTAATTTTCTTTGAAAATTTTCACTACATATAAAATTTTCTTTAAGGGTATTACTTCCTAATATGAAAACAGTCTATGAGATACTAATACTATCTAGTCATTGTCCATATTTAAATGTTGGCGATTATTTTTGTTTTGCCAATCACTAAATCGACCAATAGGAATGAAGGAAGGTAAATGAAAATGACAAAAACGGATATTAAAATATCCCGATATGGTGAAATGGTTTTGACCTCAAATAAATTTAATTATTTAATATTAACAGATGGTCTTTTGGCGAATTGCAAATGGTTTTTTTGAATTGTATAAAAAAAATGGACCTTTGGCAAATTGCAAAAAAGGTTTTTGACATAAATTTTAAAAAATGAACTTTTGGCGTGAATTGTAAAAAGATTTTTTGAATTGTAAAAAATAGTCTTTTGGCGAATTGTACGTGTAAAAAAAGACTTTTTGACATTATCATTTAAATTGTAAAAAATAGACTTTTGGCGTGAATTGCAAAAAGATTTTTTGGATTGTAAAAAATGGTCTTTTGGCGAATTGTAAAAAAAAAGACTTTTGACATTATCTTAACAGATCATTTAAATTGTAAAAAATAAAATTTTGGCGTGAATTGTAAAAAAAGACTTTTGACATTATCTTAATAAATCATTTAAATTGTAAAAAATAGACTTTTGGAATGATTTTTTGAATTGTAAAAAATGGTTTTTTTGGCACATTGTAAAAAAAGATTTTTGAAATTATCTTAACAGATCATTTAAATAAAAAAATAGACTTTTGGCATGAATTGTAAAAAATGGTCTTTTGGTGAATTGTAAAAAAAGATTTTTGAAATTATCTTAATGGCATGTGATTATCTTACAATACAAGCAACCAGTGTTCCATCAGAATGTGCTTTCTCAGTTACTGGAAATACAATCAGTAAGGTGTGAAATTGCTTATTGCCAGAAACTGCAAGAGCATGTTTGTGTATGTAGAGGTGGATAATCAATAAAGTAGGGGTTTAGAGTGTTAGAATAATATTCTCAAAATTACATATTTTTTTCCTTATACTTTCTTTATGTTTATTTTTATTTTTTTGTAACTCTATACTAATTACTAATAAAAAATCCTTGATGTTTGTTTTATTTTATGCACTTTTTTTTGTATATTAATATCTATCATATTCATTCATTGTTTGTCCGTTTATTCGTTATTTACATAATAATAATATTTAATTTATTTGAATATTAATAAGTCACGTTATTCGTATTAATCTTTCCTTTTAAGGAAAGATTAATTCAGGATTTCCTCATATAGGTATAAATCACATGGGAACAGTTAGAACTCGGTTCGGTTCAGAACCGGTTCCCTAGTGGAACCGCCCCATCCCTAATCATTATTAATGGAATAATAGTTTTTAATATCTTTAATTTTTTTGATCCTTTGATATTGGATAATCAACCTAATTTTTCTTTATCTCAGCATATACCCAATAACTTGGGTTAGCATTTATTTGAACTCTGGATTATGTAAAAATGAAAACGCAATACAAGTATTTTGATGCCTTTAATAATAATATTAAATTATAAATTATTAAACATCTCTTTACATTATTAAATCTCAGCATGTATAAAATCAATTGGGATAAAATGACTTGGATTAGCACTTATTTGAACTCTAGATTATGTAAAAATGAAACGCCATATAAGTATTTTGATAGATTTTTCAAAAATTCCATAATTTTGAAAGATTTTATCTACTATATATTTTTGTAGCTTACTGAATCTTGGCCGATTGAACAAACTTATATGTAAAGAAGCCAGAATTTTAATATGCATTGTATCCAAATTTATATATGATTGACTACATTATTAATATTAATATTAATATTGATTTTAAAATCACAATTTGTTGACACTTTTAAAAATCATCTCTTTTTTGCATATTATTATGTTTTTTCCATTATAATAATAATAAATTCTTTATATAATATACCTCAAATATCATTAATATTTTTCTCTGCATGCAATATTAATCTACTCAGCAATAATTCTTTCTTCAAATTCTATTCAAGAAGTAAAAATTGAAAATATTAAATATGTTAATATTAATAAAATTCTGCTTCGCCTATTAACAAGATAAATAATTGAAATCATTACACTTACTGAAAATATGTATACAACGTTGTAATTTTACAGCAAAATGTTGCGTGTAATAATTTTTTACATTCATGATTGAAATAGACATTTTATGTAAAAAAAAAGTAGTGTTTTTGCTTTTTTCTAAGTAGTGCGAAACCCTTATGAGAAATTTTTCTTATGGAATGAGAAATTAACTGTTTTTGAGCTTTTCTATAAAACTGGTGTAAAATTTTTAAAGTTATCGCGTCTACGATTAACCAATAAACGTGACATTAACGAACCCGAGTGAACACACAAGTTTTGTATATTAATATTATTTTTTTACTAATAATAATAAATTATCACGTGAGAGACCGTATCCTTAATTAATGAGTTTATTCATTTACGATATTGATTGTACAAGAACCTTTTCAAGACGCTCAGAATTTCGTAACCATGCAGAAACATAGCAATTAATATGAACTGATGACTATTGTACAGATCGAGATCTTTGTTTCGGAAAATAGAGTTTCTATTCATAATATAAATTCTATTCGAATCATTCATTTATTATTATTCATTTCATTATTATTCAAATAGAAACACTATCAGAAAGGCATACTCACTAAAATACTTGGTTTAAAAATTTATATCAATGATTAAAGATACTTGCCGTAAAGGATCGGGCTGGTAGCTACCATTTGCCGTAATAATTACGGCCACCGCAAATAGTTTTCAATTACTGTCATTAGTATTATTAGTCATATTAGTCTTGCGAAAATTTTCTTGAATTATTTGAGATCTACAGTAACTGAATTGTAATTGATGAATTAAATCAGTCGGTCATTCATTTACAATGAAAGTATATGTGTAAAAATAAAGATTGCGGCAGCCGTAGCCATTTACGGCAGCCGTATCTGTTTGCGGCAGCCGTAGCCATTTTCGGCAGCCTTACTGTTTGTGGAAACCGCATCTATTTACGACAGCCGTATTTGTTTGCGGCAGTCGTAAATATTTTATAATGGTAGTTACCATTGCCGCAAATAACCAATTACTGCAGGTGTCTTTACCAATGATGCAGTTGGTCAATGTAAAAGTAAATTATTCCGCGTTTGACATTGCACTCGTGATAAATGAAATCGGTTTTTATCCCTTACTAAAATTAATTGGTGAATTTAATTAAATCTATTATTGAATTAATTCATGTTGTTTCAACGTTATGATAAATGTAATGGCTGTAAATCATTTTATATTTTAGAATACTTTATTTATATTGTTATTCAACGTGCGTTTAATGATTTAAGTTAAAAGTGTAAATCAACATTGTTATTCAACGTGCTTTTATTTATGTTATTAATAAATTAAATTACGCAATGATCATTGATCTGTTGTTGACTCATGCATTCATCAGCATAGATCAACACTTTCAAAATTTCCTGATGCTTGAAATAAACCAAGCAACCACATTGTATAATATGTCATCCATTAATTCCAATAGCATGCTTGTGATGGATGTGAAAATAAAAAAGGCTTCCATATTCTTATTTAATGAACTCAATAATATGTATCTTTAATTTGAAGCTTATAAATTGTTTCCTTCAAAAGTTATCAGGGCTTGAATTTAATGCATTTTTAAAAAAATTTGAAAATTATCGAAATTTAGTCCTCATCTAACCTTTGATCCAGAGATGATCTTTTGATCTTATTTAACCCACTAGTAAAGACAAACATAAAGAACGTTTCTGCGCAAAAAAATTCTCTTAAAATAATAATTTTTTTAATTTTTTTGTATACATACCCCTTTAAAACTATTGAAATCACATGTTTCACAACATAAAAAAGATCAACAATCGATTTTGTCACGAGTGTCCATCATGCTTACATTAAATGGTAATTCAAATATCTGTGGTACATCTACTAATGCCGCAACCGCTAGACAAGCTGCCACCAATACTAGTAGTATTCCAAGACCAAATCAACGATTCAATCACACCAACATCACTAATCCTAATCATTCTAACGCTAGTACAACAATTGACAATGATGTTGCCAGATCTTCAGCAGTTGCTACCAAAACTACCATTGATACCGCTAATACTAAAACAAATAATAACATTGTGACTGCTAATAGTTCTTCTTTTGCTGGTCCAGCAGCCAATCCAACTTTGAATAATAATAATAATCATCTTCTTAAAAAGAAAACTCTACCAACTTCAAAACTACCAGAACCACCATCAAAACGGGCAAATTTTAATAATAATAAAGAAAAGGCAGTTATTACCACTAGCCCAAACAAGAATCACAAGCGTAAATTATTATCATCATCATCATCATCATCAGAACAATCACGACCAACAAAACATATCAGAGTCAAAAATATTGATGATCTTAGAAGTAACAACGAGGAAGAGTTGCTAGCAGTAACACATGAATTGGAAATCAATAATAATAAATTGGTTGAATTACAAAGAATTCTTAAAAGTCAAGAAGAAGAGGCTAGAAAATTAAAACGACGGAAGGAGACATTAGATAATGAATTAAATGTAGTCAGGATGGTGGCAAAAGCAATAAATATGGATAAACAAGAAGTTCAGTTGGAAATGAGTCAGTTGAAAGAAAGATTATCGATAGCGAATAAAACTTTTGAAGATCAGGATAAAATGGTTGATGAACTGAAGGAAAAATTAGAGAACAGCAAAACGACATGTGAAGAAATGAAAAAATCAACAAAACGATATGTGAAGAAATGGAAAAATCAATAAAGAATATAAAAATGATTAGGTTGCTTGTTGAATTGTTAGTGTATACTTCTTATCATATCTATGGACAACATATTTCTAATTATATATCCATTTTTCATATTCACATGTACATTATTATTGATTGATATGGTGTTTGTAAATCAAAAATGATGGTAACGGTGGTGATTATTGTTATTGCATTAATTTTCATAATTTTCGACGACAAACTCTAGAGAAATTATACTATATAATTTCCAGTGCATAATAATAATAAAGAAAGTATCGTCTTCCTGATATTAGCAAATTATTTATTAAAAAATACTTTTATAGATGTCATAAATAAATAGTCTACAACAGAACATATTTGAAATAATGATCTATTACCACTGGTACTGTTGCTATTATATGAAGAAAATTTGATTATATGATAGTATCTTCTGGGTCGTAATTTTCATTTATAAGTCTATATAAATATGATGGAGGATGTCCGCCACTATGTATATAAAGATAAAGTGCTTTAATGAATATTTTATAATTTATATATATTTAAAATTAAGGGGACAAAAAAAGAAACTTACGTATTTGTTACGAAAATACTAACAAGTCCAGGTGAAACATAATCATAATAAGGATTTAAAAATGTAGCTTTATCAATTAAATCTCCTTCTTCAAAACCCAAGATTGGATCCGGAGCCACAAGATCATTAAATGAATCTTCATCATACGGATACAAAGGCGATAATTTGTACAAACCGGTACACACTACAACTGGAGTTGAATGATGTTTTGCTGCTGTGGCAACCATTTGCGATCCACTCACAGAAATTAATCCACCATTTGCAAGAACTTTTTCATGTTACAATTAGAACAAATTAAATTAGGACTAGACGAAAAATAAATCAACAACATTCATTCAATCATTTACCATTAATTATTTATTTATTTTTTAAAAAGAAGTTACTACCTGCATGAGTTCCCATTATGACTTTATTCACCCTTGACATGACAGCAAATATCGCGGAATCAGCAATCACTGTAGTATCAATGCCTGCTTGAGATAAAGATAAAGCCATCTCATGTCCAAGATATCTAATCAATAAATAGATAAATAAATAAATAAATAAATAAATCAATACACGAAATATAAATATTCAGAGTTAGAAAAGTTATTTACGTTGGCGAAGTTTCTGCTACAATAACAGAAAATTTTCTTTTTTTAGCTGCTGTTTTCAAAAATACTTCAACTGTTCTAGATTTCCCTATTGTCATAATGATCTCGCTATATATATATATATATGCATATAAATAAATAAATAAATATTTATATTCATTTAAAATAAATTCAATTAATTCAATTCGCTTACTTTGAATGAATATGTTCCATTGCTTGATCTGCTGTATTTACATATGTATTTTCCAATTCACTAATCATTTCGCGTATCTCTGAAATAATTAACGGTTTCAAATGTATATATTTCTTTGAATTAAAGAATTTTAAATATTTTTCTTCTAAATAGGATAATTATAAAAATCAAAAAAAAAAAGATATTTAAATTTTTCTCGCTATTATTTGATGCATAAATCTTTTTTCCACCAACTGGAATTCCATCACCCAGCAAATTAATCATAGAAGCAGTTGTAAAAGCATAATTCAATCCTGTTTGAAATCTATCTTTCGATATTCTTTCGTCTTTATCATCAATATTACTACCATCATCATCGTTATTATCATCGTCATTATTATTGTTATTATCGTTGTCATCATCATCACCATAATCTAATTCATCATCAACATCATCAATACCACTTGAAACATTACCGCCACCACCGCTGCCACCACCACCACCACCAATACTTGTTTCTGAATTATACACATCACGAATTAAACGTAAAACTCTACGAACTATATTACCAACCACAAGTTCTATTTTATTTTAGTTTTTCAAGGCAAGAAATAATTCAACATTTAATTTATTTATTTATTACCATTGTTATTATTATTATTGAATAAATCAATCACAATTAACCTTTTGGTTGAGCTATTACCAATCTTCTTCCAACATCTTTAATTACATTTATAAGTACATTGATATGTTTCCAACGAGTAGTAGATACGATATGTCGAAGTAACAATGCTGTTTCAAGTGAAGCAGATAAAGAACCTATAACTTGACTAATTTAAACATATATAAATATTTATTAGTAAACTGTGATAAATCAAAAGAGAGTTTAAAATAAAAGTATATATAATAAATTGTAAAATGTGTATATATACCGTCTACGAAGGCGGTTTACTAAACTTTCAATTTGAGCGTTTAAATCGCGAGATCCTGTCATAATAATTTTGGATTAATTTATTTTTTTAATTTTGTAAAAATCTAAAATCTAATCGTGAGTCATAATCATTCAATAATTAATAAATAAATAATTACATGTCGCACAAGATTTCATTTTAAAACAAATTTCTGGTTTTGTAAATATGAATGCGTCCAAAATCCAACAACGCTTTTTTTTTTAAAAAATACAAAAATCGAGTGATGCTGTAAAAAAAGGACATATTTGCTATATAGTTCTTCCAAAAGTGGAAGAGCGGGCGACTCTTGATATATAAATCGTGAATCCAGAACATAGGTTAAATCCCGTCCCATCATTCGAAACCACTTTCCTCGAAGACTAGCAAAAGAAAATTTCTTTTGTTGCTTTTTTAAAGCTAATACAAAGGGCTTATTTTGTTGTATAAATTGTCAAAAAAAATATGGAATGGTTGCAGCCAAATAAATTTATAACAAAACAAATTTTCTTTACTAGTGGATAAACGATAACATGTTGTTAATTAGAATGATAAAGCTTGAGTTTAAAGATGTGGTTATCGATTATTCAAAAGAAGAATAAGTATCCTGCTGGCTCAGACTCTAGCAAACTTTCATTTTTTACATTTATGTCACAATAGCTTTTCATAAAAGTCGTGTTTGATAATGAACGCCTTGAATTGTTGGAAATTGCTGAAAAGTTCAAGCTGAAAGAAATGAAGACGAGCGCATAAGAGATGATACTGGGTCGACTGATATTCCTCACTGTTGTTGTTATTGTAGATAATACATATTACTGTTATTTAAAAAAAATTGATAAATCGGTCAATCTATATAAAGTCGCGAGAGCTCCAAGTTGGTCAATCACTTAGCCCAAGTATAAATTAAATGAATCACGATAAGTGATATCTCATTATGTGAAGGTCATCATTGTGCTGTCTGTATTCTTTTTTTGCAACCTGATTTTACTTTTCAATATCCTTCGATACAAGAATAATTGAAACAATGGATATAAAATAATTGTCTTTCCAAAGCACCATCACAAGTTCAACTTTATTGATTATTATTGGGGAGCAAACAAAAAAATATGCAAGGAAAAATTGTGATCGTCCTTTTAAAGGTTTAGAGGAACTGTTCCAGAAGCATTTGAATCAGTAACACTGGAACAATATGCCTGATACTTACCATAAGGAATTTATGTTGGAAAATGAGGATTTTGGCCGTGTGGCACAGTACTAGGGAGATAGAATTTCTTGTGCTACACATTTTTTAATAAGATCGACAAAATCTTGGCCAATGAAATAATGTTTAAATCCAATCATTCTAAATCACGTTGCATATTAATATTCCGTTGTAGAAAAAACTCGAATTTTCAATTCTAATGCCAAGACAAAATTCAAATTCAAGAATCACCGACATATTAAGTGCTAGAGAGTTATACCCATTTCATCATTCATTATACTCCAAAGCTTTATACTCTGATCGTTATGTGGTAAAACGATTTAGTAATTTTCAAAGTTTAAAACATCATAGAGGTTGTGTAAATTCGGTTTTTTGGAATGAGGCTGGCAACTTGATCATATCTGGCTCAGGTAGGTTAATTCGTTTAAACATGGTTTTTTTTAATTAATTACAATATACATATTCTATTATAGATGATTGTCGTATAAATATATGGGCACCATTTGAAGACCCAGAGAAGCCTCTTATTCATTCAATTCCATCTGGTCACAATGCAAATATTTTTTCTGCTCGTTTCATGGCAAAATCAAATGATAGACACATAATTTCATGCTCTGCCGATGGTGTTATCAGATACACTGATCTTGAGCATATTGTAGAAAATGATGCTAATTGGTCACCTTTACCTGAATTTAATTGTCATAGTTATATGGCGTAAGTATTTTTTTATCAAAATTCAAACTTCAAAATTCGTAACAAGATCATATATTAAAATAAATAACAAAATACCTGTGTGAAATAGATTCGAAGTACTGCCAGATCCAAATGATTCAAATATATTTTTCTCATGTTCTGCTGACGGTCTAATCAATCAATATGATCTACGAATCAAAAAATCATGTCCATGTAATCACTGTAAACAACACATATTTCTTGATCTGAATCCAACAAGTAATCCCAACAAACATCGTCTAAATTCTATTACTATTGACAATGGCAACGATAATAACAGTCCATATAGAATCAGGACCAGGACCAGGACCAGAACTACTACTGTTATAGATAGTGGTGATGATAATGAATCATCGCAGAAACGACAACAACAACGACATCAACAGCAAGGACGACGACCTGAATCGGAAAATTCTTATCCAACTAGACGAAGAAGAAGAAGAATAATAAGAAGTCACACAAAAGATATGAGCATAACCGCTATATCCATAAGACCTGATAACCCGGTATATATGGCAGCTGCATGTGATGATACTGTACGTATTTATGATCGTAGATATGTAATGAAATCAGCATATCATCGTGAAAGTCAAGTATATCAATTCATTCCAAAGTTAATGCGTGATAGTTCTGCCTCCACTCAAAATAAAATGACCAGTTTAAAGTTTGATCCATGTGGTGGTGGTGATTTGTGTGCTAGTTATAGCAATAGTAAAATTTATTTGATTAGGCCTAATGCTGATCAGGAAAAAAAATCATCTTCTCATAAAAGTTCTATTAGTACTACAGCACCCAAGTGTAGCTATAATAGTAGTAGCAGTAGTAGTGGCGATAATAAGAGTAATGTTAAGAAAAAAGAAAAACAAAAACAAATTAATGATGAGGGCATTGATAGGGACACAGTTAGTCATAATTTGATGGATAATGGTGATAATAACCAAAATCACTCTCACTTATTATCAATGCTTAGTATGGAAGGCGTTGTTTGTGGTGATAGCAGTGATGGTAATGTAGATAATATTGATAGAGAGGGTAAGTCAGCAACGAAATATGATGAGAATAATGATAATAAAGTTGATGGTGTTAATAGTATTGAATTTACTGTTGCAAATGAGACAGATAATATTATTAGTAATGATAATAAATATGTTAATAAAACAAAATGCAGACCTATGATTATTGATGATGATGAAGATGATATTATGGGAGGTGGTGATAATGAAGAAGAAGAAGAAAATGATGACAATGATGATGACAATGAAGAAGAAGAAGAAGATGATGAAGAAGAAGAAGAAGAAGAAGATATTGATGATTTTAAAGAAGAAGAAGATGAATATGATGATAATATTTACAGCACAGATGAAGAAGATGAAGATAGTGAATATGAAGAGGCTCATGAAGATGATGTAGTTAAAATTTATAGTGGTCATATAAACTCAAGAACTATGGTTTGTTATCTTTTATCATTGATTTTTTTACTTTTTATAATAATAATAATAAATTTTTATTATATTACTATTATTTTTTTATCATAGATTAAGGAAGCCAATTTTTTTGGTGCAAATTCTGAATATATCATGTCTGGTTCAGATGATGGTAGAATATTTATATGGGATAAAATCACAGGAGAAGTAGTTAATTTATTAAAAGGCGACTCAGTAGGTTCACAAAAATAAATTGATTTGTACACATTTGCATAAATGCATACATAAATATATTTTTAAATAACTTTATGTATTATAGAGAGTAGTTAATTGTCTTCAACCACACCCACATCTCCCAATATTATGCACATCTGGTATTGATAATGATGTAAAGATTTGGTATCCAGAGGGAGAAGAGAATGATCTTTCAGATTTACAAAAAGTAATAGAACGTAATGAACTTGAAGTGGAGAATATCAATGAAGATAATGATCCAAATCCTATGTTTCTATTGTCTGGTGATTTTATTCAGATTATTGGTAATTTGATTATTAAATTTTTTTTATTGATTTTTTCCAATTAATGATGTTATTAGATATTATGATTCATAATTATTTCATGTTATTAGAAGCTATAATCAATCAATCTGGAAGGCACTTTATGGATTGATTGTTGGATTGGTCGATTTAACAACAAAAGATTCAATGAATATGCAATTAATAACGAATTTATTTAGAAAATCAGATTTTCTCTTCATATATTGAAAGTCAATAAATGCTTTTTTTTACATATTTATTTTATTTTTTATTATTTGCATTAATGAAAAAAAAAGAATAATCTTGTATTTTTTTTTTTTTTGATCTCAGAATAACTTTTGCAATAAATTCATTATTATTAAATTATTATTATTATTATATTGAATTTTTGTATCAATTAACACGCTGTTTATACTGCTGTTTAAATCCTTAACCCCGAAAAAATAATTAACATAGAAGAAATGTAAATATTATCATCATTAAATTCAATCAAAGCACTTTACAAAAATTAAAAACTGATTGGTGGATGGATCACGTGATACGAAGATTTTAACTTATATAGCAACTGTAAACATACTTTTTTCAAGATTACTATTTTATATTTAGTAAAGATTCAATAATTTTTTATTCATAATATTTCGTTAATAAATAATGAATCACATTCAATCATGTGTCATATTTTTTTGTAAATAAAAAATCAAAATCTTTAAACAATTGCTAAATTGATACATATATTTATTTAAATGAATTCCAACTTGTGACACTATACTCCCTTACCATGACCTCTCATACTTCCCCTTCCCCTATTCGTTTCTTTTGAGATTTTGGGTAAAAAATTTTCAAATGTCACAGCTTTTGGCCAATCTGGTGAGAATCCAGTTGCGTATTTAGTTTTAGGTTTTGCAATAAGTCGCTGTCTTTCCTTTGAGAATTCCTTATACCACTTGATTTTTTTAATAATGTTGTATCGTAAACATAAGAGTGTTCGGACAAGTCTAGGTGCATGTTCTAAATTGATAAAGGAAGTTGGGATAGTAAGAGCTGGAATTGTAAATGGTGAAAATAAGTACAAGCCGGGTCCAATAAATATCAATTGGCCAATTTCGATTTTATCAGCTACAATTAAGTAAACAAGAAGTGTATTAGATTTGAAGTAAAAGAATCACCTGCAGGTTCAAAAATATTAAAAAAGATTTAAAAATTTTACCAAATCCTTGGTCCAGGAAAACATTCAACATTTCACACACTTTCCATGTTGCTAATTCAGTGCTTATCATAAACTTATTAAGAACAAAAACACCCTCATCCATCAACTTCTTTCTGTCTACATTAACCTTATCCGGGTCCGGATTATTAGGACCTTCTGAGACCTCAAGCAAAAACAATGGAATTTGCTTGGGTCACTTGAAAAATTCCAATACACCATCGGCTTTATAACCATTACTTGGGATGTCTATCTTGGTAGCGATATCTCGTTCACATAAGAAATACTGCAATGAGTCAATAAAAGAAAATGTAATAAAAACATATATGCTAATACAGTGAACCCACCCTAAGTGCACCCTCCCTAAATGCACGCACTATGTATACCCTCCATAAATTCACAGCCCATCTCATCCCCAAGCTTATAGAGAGCTTATAAAATCACCCTCCATAAATGCACACCCTCCATAAATGCACACTCACAAGAAATAGCACTATGTTCCCAAGGGGGGTGCACTTATAGAGGGTTCACTGTATGTGAGTTGTCCATGTACATTCAGGAGTGTTCTTCATGACACCATTCATTTTTATTATAGTATCAAGGTGGCTAGAGATGCTCTTAATGACAAAAATGTCGGGCATTTTTAATTGATCATAACTTTCTGGTGGAATAGGACAGACATTAGATAAATAATGAAATTTTTCAGATAAACTGCCCAATCAATGCATTTTCTCCTCTATTTTAGCAATAACTTTCTCAAACTCTTCAATGTTTCTAAAATTAGTTGTGTATTTATTGATTTTATTATCACCTTCCATATCTTCTGTCTGATCATCATAAACTAAATCATCCCAACCCTCCTCTTCCACAATCTGATCAAACAATTCCATGTAACTACGTGCCTCTGCACTCATATATTCATCTTCATCTTTTAATATTAGCCTCTCAAACAAAGATCTCAATTCATTCTCACTCAAAAGTTCATGCACCTGATTTAATGTATCCTTATCTCCCATATCAATAACATAATAATTTGCCTCAACATTGCTGGTGTTCTGTATAGTTTTGAGTTTATCGTAATATATTGGAAATTTGAGTTTTCCAAAAGTAATTAAGGTTTCAGTCACAGAGTTTAATAAATCTTCTTGGGAGGTACCTTCTTCAACTGACTCTTTGTTTTCACTGATTTTGATCTGTATACACCAAAAAATAGAAAAGGTAAGATGATTTTCTTAGACTAATAATTAAGTTATGCTCTCTGACCTTATGTGGTGAAGTTGATGGTAATTCTTCTTCATAAAGTCACTTTTGTCCAATTATTGGTTCATCAAGTTCCAACCTATCATCAGACACTGATTTCTCAAAATTGGAGGCTAATCCTTTGTGAATTTTCTTTTGCTTCCTCTCGATTTCGAACTGGTTGACAAGATCATCCACTTCATTTGTTCATGCAGTGTCAAGCACCTTTATTGTGTCTAATTCTGTTTTCTTTTTGACAATGATCTAGGATGATAACAAGTTAACACAGAATACAATCAAAGGTGAAGGTATAGTAAAAAACAATAAAACACACCTGTTCATTTGCCACTTGTTTATCAAGATTAACATGCTCCCAGAATTTCTTTACTCTGTGCGTTTCATCCTTACAATAAAAATAAGAGAAGTTAATTTTTGCGAATAGAAATAGCCCATTTAGACGAAGAGAAGGTTTGCAGTTATAATTATGAATGGTCACACTAGGAACAGCACCCATCACTCCAGGTAGGGACAGCACCCCCCAGAGCTGTGCAACAGCAGGATATTGCACTGTAGGAACAGCACCCCATACCTCGAAGTAGGAACAGCACCCCTTCAAGGCTGTGCAACTCCTGATTCAGAAAAGAAAGACATAAAAGATTACACACCGATTGTAATAATAAAGTCGCAACTCCATCCTCCTCATTTTCTTGTTCCTCAGAAAGGATTCTTTTTAGGATATTACAAAATCGCTTTTGTCCATACTGGTTTCAACACTTCTAAGAAACCTAAGTATGACCATTCTGACAGAGGAGTATCATTGAAATACGAATCAGCAGCCTCATCTGAAATTTATCATCAATTTTAAGTATATTAATAATACTGCCAACAACAGGGAAATGTATGGTTCATTTATTTTACCAAGATTACCAAGATGAAGAAAACGTGTGACAATCATCATAACAAATTTCATTTTTATTTTTATTGACTATCAGATCAGATGATTAATGTGAACCATGATTGGTCAACAAATCGTAAGCAAAATTTTTATTAAAATGAAATCAATATTCATTGATTCATTAAAAGGTAAAGCTTAATTTGTGACAAATTTGTCCTCATATTTTATGTGGGTCTATGTATCTTATTTATTAAAAACTTTTAAAAGCATATTTTTCCTTTGCAGGCATGTATTAAGATGGTTTAGTATATTATAATCATTTGATGAATAATACATTAATATTTCATTATCCCAGCAGTTGTATCATTGATTGTATCATTCATTTATCATGACTAATAAATTAATATTTGTTATTTCATTCAATCATTTAGAGAACATTCTTGTCTAACATTTATTAAATTTTATTATATTCAGAAATATGTATAAAAAGGTTGATTTCGCAACCTTCTAATATTTGAGATAAAAGACCAATAACATAAATAAATAATAAATAAATATTTTAAAAAAAATTTAAATTTAAAAAAATTCGATTAACTCAGTTCTCTTGATAAATCGGTCATAGGAGTCCACCTTGACATGAGTTTACATATGTAATAGTAATAGCAATAGTAATAGCAATAGCAATAGCAATAGTAATAGTAATAATAGTAATATAGTAATGGTAATATAGTAATAGTAATAATAATAGTAATAATGATAGTAGCAGTAATAATAGTAATAGTAATAGTAATAGTAATACAGTGCAGATCATCTATACTCAAAAGTAGGGGTGTTACTCATGAGTACTCATACTCATTGAGTGATCTGCATGAGTAATCCAGATACTCATGAGTAATCCGGATACTCGTGAGTACTCGAGTACTCAATGAGTACTCATGTATGACAAATACCTAATATAGTAAAATTGAGTTGAGAAAAATAAACAATAAAAAAATAAACAAATTTTTAATATTTTTGTATATGGTTTAAATTAAAATTTATATAAAAATTTTGTTTCCAGTTGACTTTTTGATAGATTGGTTCTTGAACTTGAATTTGTATAAAAATTTTATTCCTGGTTGTCTTCTAAGAAATTTTGTGTTTGCACTGTAAATATATATCTACATAATAATAATAACAATAACGATCATAATAAAATATGATAGGTCAATATCGCTTTGTAACACTTGAGTACTCATGAGTGCAGATCTTTCTATTAATAGTATGATCTATGAGTACTCACGGTACTCACGGTACTCATGTTACTCATGAGTATCCGGATTACTCATGAGTAACCTATTATGAGTACAAACACTACTCAAAAGTTAAAAATTTTGAAATATTATGTGATCCACACATTGGATTTTAAAAAACTTACCACCATTCAATTCAGCTTTAAAAGGGGAGTC